TTATTTATCAGCACAAATAAAAACACACACACACACACACACACACACACACACACACACACACATATACATACATACATACATACATACAAATATATATTGCAATAAGGAACTTTTTTTCCAAATCGGAGTTCTTCGATATATATATATTATATTATATATTATATATATTTCCTGCTCTGTTTCAAGGACTTATGGCAAGATGGAAAGATCCACCGGTTGTGAGTGAATTGTAAATCTAGGGCAGTATTTCTTAATCTCAGTAGTTTAAACCGTGGGGAATTCTGGGAATTGAAATCCACGAGGCTTAAAATGCCCGAGTTTGAGAAATGCTGTTCAATAGGATCCTGGAGATGGGATTCAGCTTCCGAAACACTCAACTTTGTTATTTATTTTAAATTTTTCTTTTAAAAACCCAGGAAGGCGAAAGCAATTCCTGTTGAAATTTAAAAAAAAAAAAACTCCTCCTGTTTGAAATCCAGTTGAAATCCAAAGGACGACAGCGGAAAGCGTTTTTAAGGACTGGGATGGTGAGTGAAACGCAAACTAAGCTATAGGAGACTTTTATGGCTAAGCTTAGATAGGATGCAATTCCTGCAGAGGCGCCACAAATGCAACAGAGATCTTGCACATTATGTATGGCGAGGTTGTCCGTCTGTCATTCCCTGTTTTTAATCCTCCAAGGATGCCAACAACACCCCACGGTGCATCGGCGAAGGATGTGCCGTTTGGCGAACTCGACGGTGTGGCCAACGGGATGGCGATGCACACCAGTGTGTGCAGAGTTGTGTGTCCTCTGTGTAAACATCCAGTTTTCGCATTGTCTGGGAAATTTCTCTGTGTGAGTCGGCCTTCCAACTCTGGTTATTGATGGTGTCCCAGTTTGGAGGAGGTGGTGGTGGTGGTGGTGGAGGAGGAGGAGGAGGAAGGGGAAAAAGAAGAAAAAGGGAAGGGGGAAAGGGGAGGAGAAAGGAGGAAGGGGAAGAAGAAGAAAAAAGGAAGAGGGAAGGGGAAGGAGGAGAAAAAGAAAGAGGGAGGAGGAAAAGGAGAAAGAAAGAGAATGAAAAGCGAAGAAGAGGAAGAGACGAGGAGGAGGAGAAGAGGAGGAGAAAGAAAGGGAGGAAGGAGGAGGAGGAGGAAGAGAAGGAGAAGAAGAAGAGGAGGAGGAAGAGGTGGAAGGGGAAGAAGGGGGAAGGAGAAGGAGGAGTGAGGAAGAGGAAGAAGAAGAAGAAAGGAAGGAGGAAGGGGAGGAAGAGAAGAAGAGGAGGAGGAAAAGGAGAATGAAAGAGAACAAAAGGAGAAGGAGAAAGAGAAAGAGGAGGAGGAGAAAAGAAGAGGAGGGGAAAGAAAGATAACAGAAGGAGGAAGAGAGGGAGGAAGAAGGAGGAGGAGGAGGAGAAAGAAAGATAATGGAAGGAGGAAGAGAGGGAGGAAGAAGGAGGAGGAGGAGAAGAGGAAGAGGAGGAGCAGAAAGAAGATAACGGAAGGAGAAAGAGAGGGAGGAAGAAGGAGGAGGAGGAGGAGGAGAAGAGGAGGAGGAGAAAGAAGATAACAGAAGGAGAAAGAGAGGTAGGAAGAAGAAGGAGAAGAGGAAGAGGAGGATGGGAAAGAAAGATAACGGAAGGAGAAAGAGAGGGAGGAAGAAGAAGGAGGAGAAGGAGAAGAGGAGGATGGGAAAGAAAGATAATGGAAGGAGGAAGAGAGGGAGGAAGAAGAAGGAGGAGGAAGAAAAAGAAAGATAACGGAAGGAGAAAGAGAGGGAGGAAGAAGAAGGAGGAGAAGGAGAAGAGGAGGAGGAGAAAGAAAGATAACGGAAGGAGAAAGAGAGGGAGGAAGAAGAAGGAGGAGAAGGAGAAGAGGAGGAGAAAGATAGATAACGGAAGGAGAAAGAGAGGGAGGAAGAAGAAGGAGGAGAAGGAGAAGAGGAGGAGGAGAAAGAAAGATAACGGAAGGAGGA